TTATTTATTTATTATGTATACAGCATTCTGTCTGCAGGTCAGAAGAGGACACCAGATCTCATTACAGATGGTTGTGAGCCACCATGTGTTTGCTGGGAATTGAACTCAGGACCTTTGGAAGAGCAGCCAGTGCTCTTAACCTCTGAGCCATCTCTCCAGCCCCCTGAGATGTATTTTTAAGATGTTATAAAAACTACTGATTTACAGAAGTGATATTTTCATATAGCCTGTCTTAGTTAGGGTTTCTATTGCGGCAACAAAACACCAAAATCAAAAAGCCAGCTGGGGACGAAAGGGTTTATTCTGCTTACACTTACACATCTGTTCATCATGAAAGGAAGTCAGCAAAGAACTCAAACAGGGCAGGAACCTGGAGGCAGGGGCTCAAGGAAGCCATGGAAGGGTGCTCCTTACTGGCTTGCTCAGTCTACCTTCTTATAGAACCCAAGACACCAGCCCAGGGATGGCACTGCCCACTATTGGTTGAGCCCTCCTCCCATTGCTCACTAACTGAGAAAACGCCTTACAGCTGGATCTCATGGAGGCATTTCCTCACCTGAGGCTCCTTCCTCTCTGATAATTCTAGCTTGTGTCAAGCTGACAAAACCAGCTAGTACATAGCCTAAAATTAACTAGAAAAATGGATAAAAGGTAAACAAAATAGGAATCAAAAAGCCAGAAGAAAAAGGGAGTCAGTTATGAAAACGCTGTTTCTTCCTGAGTTAAGTGGGAGAAACACAAACACAGATATACTCCTTAGCTGGTACCTGAGCTGGCCTGGGCAACACTGGCAAACCTAACTTAAAAAAATGACTCTGGCTGGGTGGTGGTGGCGCACGCCTTTAACCCTAGCACTCAGGAGACAGAGGCTGGTGGATCTCTGTGAGTTCGAGGCCAGCCTGGTCTACAAGGGCTAGTACCAGGACAGCCAGAGCTGTCACACAGAGAAACCCTGTCTTGGAAAAAAAAAAAAAGAAAAAAAAAAAGGCCTGACAAACTCCAATTAGTATTTTTAGGGAGAAACTTAGATCCACATAAAAAATACACAAACTCTAGTACAAACGTCAATACACTTCCATATCACTACATTGGCCACGACATAGCTCAACTTCCTCCTAAAATAACAAAAGCTCCATGCAGCTAGCTGCCAGACATTCGAGGGCACACAAATATTAAAAGGTATATATTTCTACTTTAAAAGCGTTGTTTTCTAAAACTCACATGCAGATAGCAACCATCACCACTTTTCCTGGCCCCTTAAGGAACAGCGACAGGGTCCTGGAGCGCGGCTGTAAGACAAGAAAGAAGACTCTTAAGTCTCTCAGAGAAGCACAGTCAGAAGTAGCTCTGACACAGCACAAGATTTATCCTTTTTCAAAACCTCTAAATGGGGCTCACTTTTAAATTCTTTTCATCCAAACTTTCGCTTTAAAAGGGGCTTCGAGAATGGCTGTTAAAGAATGTATACATTCTACAGAGAATGCGAGTGTGGTTTCCCACCCATGCTGGGTGACTCACAAGAGCTTGTAACTCCAGCTCCAGATGGTCTGACCACCTCTTCTGTCCTCTGAGGACAACCGCATCACATGCACATACCCGACAGCCCCCAAACACACACATACATATATGCACAATTAAATAATGTTTTAAAGTATGTACTTTCCAAAACCTCAGATGCTTAATTGCTCCTAGAATTAATTCCCAGCCTGTCCACACCTAGAAGAGATCTGAAACAGCTACAGAGAAGATCGCACTAAAGTGATAAAACATTTTGACCTGAAATTCACATGCTCTAAAATTCTCGATTTTTTTGAACAACTTCTTCACTTTGAGAAAGGAACAGCAAAACGTAACAGGCCTGCTGCTCTGGCTTAACTGAGTCTTCTCTCAACACCAAAGACCTCCAGCAAAAATTGTTCAATTGCCTGATCCGCCTCCTCAGCCTCCTGAGTGCCGGTGTACTCCCACCGCCTGGCCATAAAGCTTTACTGACCACCCACATAGTCAATCTACTATAAATTTATTATTGTATTTATTGTATTATTAAACTTAGAGCTATATTTATCTTCATGTCATTTATTCACAATGTTTACTGTACAGCTACTATATGTCTGGCACAGTTTTAGGAGCTAGAATCCTTTATTCTAGATGAGGCCAGAAGCAATCTGTAAAGAAATGCCTGACATCAGATAATGAGGCATATCATAAAGAAAAGAAGACTGAGAACAGTGGGAGTGGGGGAGTGGTACTTTAGCTATAACAGTCAAGAAAAGAGGCTTAATGACAAGGAAGCAATCATGAAAAATATAAAAGAAGCATGTTTGAGGAAGTTTGTAGCAAGTCCAAAGACACTTAAATAGAAATTACCTTAACTGAAATGAAGAACAAAGTAGGACACATAGGGCTACTGTGCTAAAACCAGGAAGCCAGAGCAATGGCAGAAGTTGGGGAGAACGAATGGGAGTAGACAGAAGGGGAGAGAGGTAGTAAGAGAAGGCACATAGAACTTTGTAGACTATATTTTCAGTTCGATGCTAATGGAGAAAAGAAATCACTCGACAATTTTAAGCAGAGATAACACAGTCTAATTTATGCTTTTCAAAGATACAGTTTGTGATGTAGGAAAAAAGCAGTAAGTGGAGAAATTAACTAAAAGGGTATCCATGTAAGAGATTCTAATAATTTAGGGAAGGCTAAGGCATCAATAAGAGACACAGTAGTAGGTAGCCATATTAGGAATCTATTTTGAAGATGACAGTGGTCCCTACTAACAAATTTAAAGTATAAAAGGGCCCATAAAGAATCTTACGGGAGCTAAAAGATGGCTCAATGTTAAAAGTCTTACTATGTATACTGGCTAGTTTTATGTTAACTTGATATAACCTATGGCCATCTGAGAGGAGGAAGCCTCAATTAAGAAAGGGTCTCCTTAAGATTGGGTTTCAGGGAAGCCTGTAGGGCATTTTCTTAATTAGTGGTTGATAGGTGGGAGATAGCCCATTATAGACGGTACCATCCCTGGGTTAGTAGTCTTGGGTTCTATAAAAAAAGGCAGGGTATCAGGCGGTGGTGGTCCATGCCTTTAGTTCCCAGCACTTGGGAGGCAGAGACAGGTGGATCTCTGAATTAGAGGTCAACCTGGTCTACAGAGTGAGTTCCAAGACAGCCAGAGCTACACAGAGAAATCCTGTCTCAAAAAAAGAAAAACAAAAAAAAGGGGGGGGGAAGTAAAGAAAGAAGGAAGGAAGGAAGGAAGGAAGGAAGGAAGGAAGGAAAAAAGCAGGCTGAGCAAGCCATGATGAGCAAACCAGTAAGCAGCACCCATTCTGCATCAGCTCCTTCCTCCAGGTTCCTGCCTTATTCCTGCTCTGACTTCTTTCAATGATAGACTACAGTATGAGAGTGTCAGCCAAATAAACCCTTTCCTCCCCAACTTGCTTTTTGGTTAGAGTGTTTTGTAACCGACCAACACTGACTAAGACACTATGCAAGCATGCAGACCTGAACTTGGACCTCTGACATGTATGTTCATACAGTGTGCATCTGTAATACAAACATTGGGAAGCAGAGACAAAAGGGGATCCTGAGGGCTTCCTGGCAAATTAGTCTGGCTTAATCAGTGAGCTCTGGGTTCAGTGGGAGACCCTGTATCAAAAACTAAGGTGGGGGAGCAATAGTATTGCTACTTGATGTCAATCTCTGGCTTCTCCATGAGTACACACATGCACATGCCATCTCTTCACCCCAAAACTAGTCTCCAATGTTTGAGGATCAGATAACTAAGTAGAGCCATCTGCAAAAAGGACTGATCAAGGGACATTAATGAAGAGGAAAGATGGTTTGGGGACCCTGGTGAGCAAGGAAGCTGCTGCTGCTGCTGCTGGACTTCAACACTTCCTCCCCGCTCTGGTCGCCACAAGGTGACCTTCCCTCATCCTGCTGGCCTCTGTCCACATCCTTACCACCCTCTCCTCTCCCTGGAAACTGACTAAGTTTAGTAACGTAGTTAAACAAATCTTGTGAGGATGCTAGGCATGCTTCCTAGAGCTGGCTACAATACTGGGTAAGTCAAAATCATAAGTGGGGCAGAGGTGTGACAGGAGTTGAGACTGGATCTTGCTATATGGCTCAGGCTGGCCTTGAACTTGCCACCCTCCTGTCTCCACCTCCCAAGTACTGGAACCTATTAGCACAGGGTTTAGACTCTTGAGTAATAGGTGAGAACAATATGTAGTACAGTTTGAGGTTTTTGTGGGACTTCATTCTTGGTGAATGACATAGCTGATAACAATTCTGTCTGGCTTGCTGGCTATACCAGGTCTTGAAGAGCCAGGATGTTCCTTAATAAAAGTGCAATAATTATCAAGACAATTGTAATTCAAACTTGTATTTTATACATGCAACTTGGCAAAGGAATGAGACTTCCATTTAAGGCTGTTTGAATTTTGTTGGCCTATGCAGCTTTGCTTTTGTACTTGCCTGGTGCTTTGCTTTGTTTTGTCTTAAGCTAGCTCTGGAGCCTAGAAATTTAAAGAGCATATAAGTACCACATGGATAACAGCAAAAACAAGAGCTTCTACCTTTAAAAGCCAGGCTTTTATTAAAATATAATCCAAAGTCATCTGTCCCTGGTTTTGTGCTGAACTGCCTTTGGGGCAAGAGAAGAAACTGTACAGAATAAATCTCGTGTGTGTAGCTTCAATTTCACTCCGATTTATAAGATAGAAACTCCGACATGGGTCTAGATTTCAACTATCTCCTGTTTATCGAAAACTATAGACTGTGTATACTTTTATTATATTGGGAACATGTCAAATTCTTTGTGAAGAGATGGAAATAGTAAAAAAAATACAAATAGTGAAAAAATGTTGCTTAAAGTGAAAAATAAAGATTTCTTTAATGGGAAGATTGAGGGGAGGGTAATAAGACCTTTAAAATCAAAGCAGAATGTCATAAGGAAAACTACTCCCCAAACCAGGTTGCTAAAGGATGGAGGAAAGAGGAAAACATGCTGGCATTAACTAGACCAGAAATAATGACAAAGCCCAAAAGGATCAAGCAGGAGAATAAAAATCTGGAGAATATGAAACCACGGAGAGCTAGGATCCACAGCCCTCTTGGCAAACAGCCTAGAAAAAAACTGCTCAGAAGTTCCACAATAAAAGCCTGTCTCAAAAAAAAATAGAGAACCCCATCTTTTTAAAGATCAGAACGACAAAACAATGATAATTATTGAAGCTGGATCTCTTTATCAATTTTTTTTATATGTTTGGAATTTTCACAATTAAGTTTGTTTCTCTTGTTTTGTTTTTGTTTTTCGAGACAGGGTAGCTTTGGAGCCTGTCCTGGAACTAGCTCTTGTAGACCAGGTTGGCCTCGAACTCACAGAGATCCACCTGCCTCTGCCTCCTGAGTGCTGGGATTAAGGGCATGTGCCACCACTGCCTAGCTAAGTTTGTTTTGCATTGTTATAAATATTGCACCAAGTCTGATGACCTGCGTTCCCCAGAGAGTAGAAGGGAAGAACAGACTCCTGCAAATTGTCCTCTGACCTCCCCAGAAGCACCATGGCATATGCATATATACGCACACTAAATAAATACATATTAAGTTTTTTTAAAATCACCACTGATGTCAGAGAGGACTACAGGGAAAGTTGCACACACTACTCCAAGCACCTCTGTGCATTGTAGTCCTGTGGCTGTGGAGCTAAACTTAATTGGGGACACAAGGAACTTTCAAGGTCCTGAAGGACTAACCTAAGACATTCACAGACAGGATCCTAAGGTAAGGCATAAGAAAGTAGAACCAATTAAAGAGGAAATGAATTAAAGGGACATTGCAAAATTAGATTATCAGAGGGTGAGCTACTACTCTGATGAGAGAATGCTTTTAGTAAACCAAGGACACTGTGACTTTATCTCTTACAGTTAGAGCTCCCGTGAGACAAAAGGAGTATAACAAGGAAGTGTTTGCATCCAAAGTAAAAATTATAAAGACAACATGAAATTCTAGCAAGCATGACTGCTATATGAATAGATATAAGGACTCTTATATGAACAGCTATAAGAGGCAGATGTCAGTGGCCGAAGTCCACACTATAAGGTAGTGACAGTCACCTTGCAACACAAGGAGAGACGACAGGGACCTTCAGACCACATCTTCAGTGCTGCTTTCAAAAAGGGCTCACAGAGAAACCAGAATCACTATCAATGGAAAGAGGGGTAGCTCAAGCTAACTATAGTGGGCAGCTGTGTCCAATTCTGAACTGTGTGAAAAGAGGTCAAGACTCAAATGCTACCCAAAGAGAAGATAATTTGCATAGGCAGCCTTTGCCCCAGATATACATTAACTTGGTTTGTTTTGAGAAAGAATCTCACTCTTTAGTCATTGCTAATTTGTGGCAATCTTCCAGCCTTAGCCTTCCAAGTACTGGTATCACAAGCATGACTTACAATGCCCAGCTATGGCATTTAACTTCTTCTTTCTCTTCTTTTTAGAGAGTGTTTCTTTTGAGCATAACTTCACTACGTAGCCCTGGCTAGTCTGGAACTTAAGGAGAGCCTCCCGATTCTGCCTCCTGAGTGCTTAGAATTATAGGTCACAAACCATCCAGATATACCTGCTATTTATTAAGTTCTTGATGGGAGATCCCTCCCAGCCAACTTGAAATGGAAAGTCTACTTGGACATAGATGGCTTTGTACCTTGGATATTGTTTGTGACTTTGGAAAGAGTCATTTCAGTGGGATGAAAACCCAACTGGACTGAATTTAAGAGGCAAGAGGAGCTGAGTTACTGAATTAAAACTTTTAATATTTTTCCTAATACTAACTCTTTCATGTAGAAAAGATAGTATTTAGGAGCATCTGTAGATAAAGGTCTATTATCTGATGATGAAAAAATGAGGTACTCAATGACTAGTCCAACTTAAGGCCCACATCATGAGAAGGAACCCAAGTCTAACTCTGCCTGAATGGCCAGGAACTAGAAGCAGGACAGTCCCAGAAACCCAGGATAGAATCAAATGTGATGTGTGTGTGTGTAATGAAATGATTTCCAAGGATATTCTGTTATATTCATACATTGGTGTCTAGTCCAATTATCATCAGAGGGGCATCATCCAGCAACTGATGGGAACAGATGCAGAGATCCTTAGCCAAATATTAGGCAGACTAACAGGCAGGGTAGCCCGCAGAAGACGAATGGGGAGGAAGGATTGTAGGAGCCAGCGGGGTTGAGGTCACAATGAGAACACAGCCCACAGAACCAACAGAGACTGAAGTGATAAACACAGACCCTGTATGAATCTGAGCTAGGTCCTCTGCATATAACTTAAAGTTGTGTAGTTTGGTGTTCTCCTGGGAGTTGGGGGTGAGGATGTCTCTGACTCTTTTACTGTCATGTGGGACCCTTTTCTTCCTACTGGGTTGCCTTGTTCAGCTTTGATATGAGGACTTATGCCCAGTCTTGTATCTTGTTTCTTGTATCTTGTTTGGCCATGGTTGCTGCTGGATATCCCTGGGGAGGGGGGGGGGGTGTTTTTTTTTTTTTTTTTTTTTTAAGGAAATGGAGGAGTGAATCTGGGGTAAAAAGGAAGGTGGTAGGAAGAACTGGAAGGAGTAAAGGGAGGAGAAACTGCAATTGGGATGTAATGTATGAGAGAAAAATAAAAGTTAAAAAAAAAGAAAAGAAAAAATGAGGTACTCTGAACAAATTAAAACTGGTCATTGACTTACAGGTCTATATCTTTATAAACCATCACAAATTTAAAATACTGTAGGTTGAAAATATATTGAATCCATCTAACCTAACCACAGCATACTTAGGCTGCCTCAAATGTGTTCAAAACCCTTAGATCTGTCTTGCACTGAGTAAAATATTGAGTATGACTGAATGCTACATAGAAATTATAAACAGAATGGCCATATGCTTATGATTCCATACCACCAAGTCAATAAATTACAAAGTGAACCACTGTATGACAGGAGACACTTGTACACCTGTTTTGCTTTTCAGTTAAACATGAAGCAGGGTTGGTAACAGAGAGGCAAAAGGTAAGGCTGCAGGAAGTTTGGGAACAGAGGGAAAGGCATACACTAAGCTACTTTACAGTGAAGGAGTGTACTAATGAAGCCACACAAGTTTCCACTGACTGTGTACAGCACATAACAAAGAGCAATCAAACTGGCTGTGTAATTTTCTCTTTCAAGGGATGCTTTTATGTGCAAAAGCTGAGAGCAGGCAGCCTCCATACTGACTCAAACTAGGAGTAGGAGAGATGACAAAAGCGATTAAGGAGCTTTTATACAAATACATATGTCTCTGCGTGTGTGCATGTATGTATGTATGCATATATGTATGTATAGGCATATGTGTGAGAGATATAGACATGAAAGAGAAAACTCTTCTAAAAAGGAAGCAAACAATCCCCTTTATCTATATATGTTTAAGAATCCTAGGAAACTCATGTCACAATTTTAATTCCAAGAAAACAAACAGAAATGAATAGACATCAGTTCAGCTAATTACAATGTGCTCAAGAAAAATCCTGGATTATGATCAAAGACTTGATAGAATTTCTTGGATTATGATCTGTAGCACAATGAATAAAAACCCAGAAATAGATATTGGGGTTCAATATTGGGGTTCTGAAGGTCAGAAAAGCAAAACAGCCAGTCACGAGTTCATGAAATATCATTACAATGATCATACATAGTTCACACTATCTTTAGTTTGTCAAATGACATGCGAGTATAATTAAAAACATATCCTTACCTTTGTGTTTCCCAAGAAATCACCATATTCTCTTAATATTCTTTGGTTTCTAAATAGTCCTACAGGAATCAAAAGATAAGTTTAGTCATATATTGTCTTACTAATCAGTCTATATTAATACAACTATTCTTTTTAAGACTGTACTAAATGGTTGAAGGTGTAGCTCAGTAAGTAGGGTGCTTGCTTACTATGTACAAAGTTCACCACCCAGAACCAAGTATGCCAGGTGTAGCACACACCTGCAATTCTAGCATTCAGGGGTGGAAACAAGAGAATCAGGAGTTCAAAATCTTCCTTGGCTACATAGCAAATTTGAGGCTAGGTTGGGTTATGTGAGACCTTGCCCATTACCCTCATCTGAAGGAATACATTCAGGAAGTTTCTTTCCACAGATATGGAAAACTAGGATTGCACTATTATCTATGAAGAGCAGGATTTACAAATCTATGCACCTTCTCATTTCTATTATGTGTGTACAGGCTGCTGAGAGGTACAACAGCAGCTAGAGGAGCCCGCTGCTCAATCATGATGATCAGAGTGTGGAACACAGCCTACCTCCCATGTCGGACAACTCATAAGTGCCAATAATTCCAACACCAAGGGACTGAATGCCTTTTTCAAGATTCTGGGGGGCACCTGCACACACATGTGCATACACTCACAAAGACATGCACACATACAAATACATAAATATTTTTAAAGTGTGTATGTAAATTTTAAAATATATTGGAAATATTCTGAAATGAGTATTTATCAATAACAGTTATCTCTAGGAAGGAAAATGAAAACATAGAAAAAGAAAGAAAACATCACTCTATATTTCTGTATTTGTTTGGAGTACTGGGAAATCAAACTGCATTCTTTTTTAGTCATAAATATATACATTACTTTTGGCATCAATAAATATATTTATATAAATCATGTAAAAACAAATCTTTCAGTGCCCTAACCCAAAGCTCTAAACCACTGAACTCAGATCCTTGAGAGTCTTAGTTATGTTTGTAGTTGAAAGACAGTTTCTTACTCATGTTGGACCATTTGCTGAATGAATGAATGTGGTGGTAGAAGCAGTAACTACCACTTTTATAATAACAATCATCAAATCAGATCCAAAGTGTTTCTGGTGTTGTTTACCAGAAACTACAAAAAGTGTTTTTTACTTCCTCTCATCAGCTTAGAAAGTTATCAAGGGAAAACCAATTTTTTTTTCTAAACAATTCCCACCCACAGTGAAAACTGGTACTTGCTGGAGCAATAGAGTCAAACCATGAGGTGCAAACACTAGAGACTACCTGGCTATCAGGGGCACAGCTCTTACCTATGTTACTTTTCAACAAACCCAGCATTAAGTTAAAAAAATACTTTGTTGGGGAATATTATTTTAAGGTATGTTGCTTTTGTTTATGCTACATTTGTTTAACTCCGTGAAGCTGTGGTTCTTTGGCTGTTGAAAATACCTGATGTCTAATAAAGAGTTGAACAGCCAATAGCAAGTCAGGAAAGGATAGGCAGGGCTGCAGGCAGAGAGAATAAACCGAAGGAGACATGTAGAAGGGGTGAGCAAGAGAACAAGGAGAGGACCACATCAGGGGTCAGCTACCCAGCTACGCAGCAAGCCATAAAGAAAGAAGTCAATAAGGGTGTACAGAAATAGAGAAAGATAAAAGCCCAGAAGCAAAAAGTAGTCAGGATAATTTAAGTTAAAAAAAGCAGGCAAGAAACAAGTCAAGCTAAGGCCAGCCATTCATAACTTAAGAATAAGCCTCTGAGTGTGATTTATTTGGGAGCTAGATGGTAGGACCCCCAAAAAGTCAAAATAGTAAAACATCACACAACAATACTTACTTTCTCTGTATTCTATTTCTGCTTCTTTACGCAATTTTTTCTCCCTAGCAAGCGCTTCAAGGCTTCCCCAAACTTCCAAAGCTCTGCGTATACATACACACACATGGTCACCACCAAGAGACACTTTAAATTACATTATAATAATTTTACTTACATACAAATGAATTGTAAATATATAAGAAGCTTATTTAAAAAAAAAAAAAAAAGCAAAAGGTCTCTCAGACCAAAAAAGGAACATTTAAACTTCTGAGTCAAATCTACAGATTAAAATAAACTCATCCACAAATGTTCTTATAAGTGAGAATATATTTGTTTATCTAGTACATATAAGAACAAGTTGCAAATAAAAAAGAAAGCATCATTTAAGAAACACGTCATTTGGAAGATCCTGTTTAAGATGTTGTTATAACTAAATCCAGCATGCACTGCTGAGAAGGAATGGGGACTTATGCTCTTACTTTGCTTCCACATCTGACCTCAAGAACACGGTAAAGGACTCAGTATCATCGTGGGGACTTCGTCGTCTGATTTTTCGAAGTTGTTCTAAATCACTGAGACATAATGTGTTGAAATTAATCAGATGATGCCTGTACCTTACAGGATAAGGACAGTAAACAATTACAGTGACCCCCATATTGAAAGAAAGGATCTGTCCAGCTTCTAAACATCAGTTTAAAGATGGCATTTTTAATACAAAAAAATAGTCTGGAGATAGTAAAGAAGATAATCATTGAAGAATACCATACATAGACTCCATATATATAACTCTGACTGCACAGGGTCTCATCAGAAACTTAACAGAGTCAGGCCTGATCACTACTTCGTTGAGAGTTGCAACTCCCTCACTGATACTTGTACTATGTATATGCACTTTTAATATATGTAAAAATTAGAATATATACAAGTATCGCTCTTCTATTTAAGAATTTAAATTAAGTGCCAGGAAGATGGCTCAACAAGTAGAGGCCTTTGCTGGCAAGCCTAGTGACCTGAGCCAGGTCTCTCAGACCCACATGGTAGCAAGAACCAACTCCCAAAAGTTTTCCTCTGGCCTCCACACGTGCACCACAGCTATGCACCCACATACTACACAAGCACAATTAAATGTCCCCAAGTTAGTGATTACCTGTAGTCACTTTTCTTTCTCTCAAATTCTGAAAGGTTTATATTTTCATCAAGCCACTATTAAAGTTATTTTATATTTAGATAATTAAATACATTACACCATTATTTTATATTTAATGATTGGTTGTCTTGCAGAAATTCTGTGACAGCAATGAACAGTTATCTTCATGACAATTTTGAAATTTAATAAAAGATAAAGGATCATACTGTTTGCACAGAGTACTACACTGAAAGAAATTACTGTACCTGGACTTAAGACAGAACTCATTTATTGCTCTCACTCCAGTGATGAAATTATTCTTAGTGTATTTTGGTCCATACTCCCTTTTCTTAAGGACTGCTTTGACTAAACCAGAAACAAAGAGATATGTAAGCATGAACACTGTAGGCACTACTGGAAAGTGAATACTTGTTGAATTCCACAGACATTTGTTATGTTTTCCTCATGTATATATAGGATGGTATCGCAGAAAAAGAAATGTCTCCCCAGTATAGAAAACTAGGATGGGTCATAAATCTAGTGTTTACCTCTATAGCTCATCGCTAACTGATGCTAAAATCCCAACCTTATATCCAGTGGACACCTTGTATCAGTACTGTTCTGTCTAAAGCATTAAAACAATGTAAGTGCTTTGGGTCGGTGGGCAAATAAAGTTTCAATAAAAATTACAGAATAGTTCAATGTCTTATAAACTGTAGAGTCAAACCAAAATTCATGAAAAGTCAAAACAGAAAGCAATAAAGGATACTGAATATAGAAAAGAAACTTTTATAAAATGCTTTGATACCCTTATATATAATAATCTGTATGTTCCTTTCTTAGATCATTAAGTAACATTTCTTGTTAAAAAACTTAGGGCCACTGGATAATTTCACACAAGAAAGACTAAAGAGAACTAAGAAATACTTCTATCAATCAAAAATTGTAAGAAGTCTTCAAATTATAAGAAAATATTACCTTCTATTAAACTACTGTCTAACTGTTGGGTATCAAACTGTCAGACACAAAAATATGATACAAATTTGGTACAGATTATAGTTTGAGAGTTAAAAAATTACATGATACATTTCTATGCTAATAAAGCATATAAACTGGGTGATGGCACACGCCTTTAATGCCGGCACTCAGGAGGAAGAGGCAGGTGGATCTGAGGCCAGTCTGGTCTACAAAGTGAGTTACAGGACAGCCGGAACTGTTACAGAGAAAAACTGTCTCGAAAAATAAACAAACAAACCCACCCAAAAACAACATCAAAAAAATAAAGCATATAGAGTAAGACTTTCTGTCCCGAACATAAAAAAATGTAAGCAAACCTCTGAGCAAGACTAAGACAACAAAGGCTGTGCCCTGCGTTAAACTGTCACCTGGCCACCCCACCAGACGCTGCTCTCTCAACCCTACCTTTCTATTCTACTTCCAAATAGAATTAAGTCTAAAACGACTCATTTCTGTGGGTAAAAAGCACCCACTAAAACAATAAAACATCAGCACTAATATTAAATGCACAATACATCTTACTAAGAACATTTCAAAAATAAAGTTCAATACAAAAGCCCAAACTTTATTTGAAGACGTATATAAAGGCATTCGGATTACTTTCTCTCTGAATTCTAAGTCTCTAGTGAACTTTACTTCTATCATTCTAAAACTAAAATCTGGGTGTGGGTTACTCTAGAACTGAAAGGAAAATCACATCTCTCTTTAAAAGGATGCATTCTTTAAAGATAAAAAAGAAATCCTTCAAAAATAGTTAGCTGTTCCTGTTGGTCTATTAGAGACCAGCTCATGGACGATTGGTGGCCGTGGTCACTGCTATCCCAGTACTGTTTCTCTGAATGGGAAGAAGGTTTCACCTTGTAACCTGGGCTCCTGCCCCAGCCTCTGACAGGTTGCAATCACAGGCAAGTCACACACACACAGTCCAAATGCTGATAACTCTTGATTACTTAACTATTTGCATGTGTAATCTTCAAAGCCACCCTGATGAGTGAATTTTATTTTTTACCATCTTAGAGAAGCAAGCTAAATGTCAGAAGGTTAAGTAAGTTGCCTTATATTAGATAGCTAGGAAGTATGAGAGCCAAACCTGAGCCTGTTTGTCTGATACCACACTGCTCACATCGCACAGACCCACTGACTTCATGAATTAACAGTCAAACTCCATCTAAATTTAAGCAAACTATAGCTGAAGATACTGGCCTCTTGTTCTTTAGTAACATTACTTTTCTAAAAATATAAAGCAAACTGAAGATTTTGGTTCCTTACACTTTTAAAATACAAAATAAACTTCAGCATAAAGTAGCATATAAATAGAATAAAAATTTTATGACCAATCTATTTAAAATAAAAGCAAATTATAACCATGTTCTTAGGATAATGTTAAAGACCGTCACGTAAATTCTGCATATTTATATATACCCACATACCAAAACATCAAATAAGATATATTTACCTCTTACTTGGAGAGGATCTTGTTTAAGTGGAGCTTTGAGTTCTGCGCCTATATTTTCTGCTGTAAAGTTTATTAAAACAAGTTTACAATGACGTTTTCCAATAAAACTGTAACTTATTAGTTAATTTAATCAAGCAATATATAACTGATCATTTATCACAAATGATATAACTGATCATATTATTTTAATTCATTCTATAAGACATAAGAGTGTCAAACTTCATAACAGCTATTTATCTCATTAATAAACTACAGGAGAAAAGGCATGGAATCATTTCAAGAACTAAAGACAAAACAAAGCATTTAGTAAAACTCGTACCCACACACACGCCAAAGCCTTTCAGAAAAGTGACAAAAAGATTTGTTTTAAAGGGTAAAATAAACCACTGACATATGCCATATATTAGTGAAAGGGTAGGTGCATTTAAAATAAGAAAACAAAGGTACAAAGAATCCTTCCACTATTTTAGAGACTTCAGTAAAGAAGTCTATTAAGTCATGTTAGACAACTGTAGCTCCATTCACACACACCCCCCAAAACCATTTAAAAGATGAAAAGGAATGAAATCTACCTGCCACTATAAGCAAAAGAAATGCTTACAAATACAAATACAAATGCCAGTGCCTTCCAGTGCCCCACTGTAGACACACAGACTACTGTTATGATAAAGAAAGACTTTCTTTCTTTTTATGAAGCAGGGTCTCAGAATGGGCTCAAATCCATAATGCTCCTGCTTCAGTCTCTTATGAGAAATTTCAGGAGAACACCACCAGCCCAACAAGAAAGTCTGTAAGCAGGATATAAATAACATAAAGGGAAAAAATTAGTAAATTAAAATTCAGAAAATCTAGTCAACAAAATATTCTACAAACCAAAAAAAGAGGCCGGGCAGTGGTGGCGCATGCCTTTAATCCCAGCACTCAGAAGGCAGAGGCAGGTGGCGGCTATCTTGTGAATTTGAGGCCAGCCTGGTCTATCCAGGACATCCACGACTGTTTCACAGAGAAACCCTGTCTCAAAACAAAACAACAACAACAAAACAAAAAATTGGTGGGGGGTGGACTGGAGAGGTGGCTCAGCAACAAAGAGAACTTGCTGCTCTTCAGAGTCTGGTGCCCAGCACATGGGTGGGTGGCTCACAAATGCCTGTGGCTCTAGCATCAGACAGAGGATATGCTACCCTCTTCTGGTCCCTACAGACACCTGCACATACATAGACACAAATGGAACAATAAATGTTTTTCAAAGGAAGAAGAAAAAGTCTCAAATTGGGAGAAATTACTTCCAACAAATAGAGCCACAGAGCATTAGTATCAAGAATACTTTACAACTTCCTCCAGGGGCTGGAGAGATAGCTTAGAGGTTAAGAGCACTAGCTGCTCTTCCAGAGGTTGTGAGTTCAATTCCCAGTAACCACAGGGTAGCTCACAACCATCTCTAGTGGGATCTAATGCCCTCTTCTGGCTTATGTATACATAATAAATAAAGAAATCTTTAAAAACAAATAAAACAAAGATCAATAAGAAAAAGTTCATTAAAATAAGCATTAGAACAAATATGATAGAAAAACAATTATACATTGCCATTAGATGTATGAAAAGGTGATTATTTCATTAACTGAATCTAAATGAAACCAAAGAATTCCAATTTACAACCATTACACTATGGAAAATGAAAAGCCATAACACCCAAGTTTGGTGACCGTGTGAAAGAATGGGAATATGGCTGCTGGTGGGAACAGGCACAAGTATCGATCAAAACTATAACCCAGTAATTTTTCCAGGTCAATAAGAGCAAAAATATCCTTGTACAAGGGCAACAGAAGAGAGGAATGTGGCATTCACAACAATATTCTGTTTTAAAAACTACAAAAAAAAATGCCCACCAGTAAAATAACAAACAACGAATGTTGTTGTTGGCCATTTTGTATATAGTGGTGACAATCATAATAATGGCTATCTTTCCTTAAGCCCTCACTGTGAGCCAAACACTACTGGATCAATGCTGTTAATTCACACAACAAATAGCCCTCAATAGTATGTGCTATAATTATAATTATGAGCTATAAATTATTTGAAAATATCAAATCCACGAACACATTGATAGGATAAATCTAGCAAAAAAACGATAAAAACACAAACAAAACTTCAAAGAATACATGTAAACCAACATAACAAAGTTCAAAAAGAAAAAACTAAGCAATTTAGAATACACAGATATGCTATTCATTTCACCTCCCCTTTCCAAGAGTTACTAATTATGTGATGTGTGTATGCCTGTGTGAGTTCATGCACACTGTATGCATGCAGGAGCCTGTGGAAGCCAGAAGAGGGCATCAGATGTCCTGGAACTAGAGTTAAGGCTGTGAGCAGTGCTGATACTGAACCTGAGTCCTGAGAGCAGCAAGTAGTCTTAACCATGAGCTATATATATCTCCAGCACCCTCTCATCTCACTGTTTAAAAACACACACACACACACACACACACACACAAAAAAAAAAAAAAAAAAAAGTACTGGGGGCTGGAGAGATGGCTCAGTGGTTAAAAGCCCTGGCTGCTCTTCTAGAGATCCTGAGTTCAATTCCCAGCAACCACATGGTGGCTCACAGCCATCTGTAATGAGATCTGGCGCCCTCTTCTGGCATGCGGGCATGATGCAAGCAGATTGTTGTATACATAATAAATAAATAAATCTTTAAAAAAAAAACAAAATACTAAGGCTGAAAACTTCAGGAAAATGACTTAGATACACACAGCAAATGCAAATTAGAGACGTATGCTATCAAGAAGTTCTTAGGCTGATTAGCAAATGCCAATATTCTAATTTTATTTTCTAACTCTAAAATAAATATTACAATGTACACATATATAATATATATTTAACATATATATTTAAAGATTATATTTAAATAATTGTTTAAATATATAAAATATGCATAATTTAATAATATATTGTTAAAGATAAAGTATCTATAAATGCATAAATATAAAATAGATTTTGCAATAAAAACCTCATTCACACTTAAAACTCCATTCAAAAGAGGATTCCATATTTTTTCATAGCTTGATTGCAGACAATATCTACTCAGCATTCAACTCGTGTCAAGCATTATTCTATGTACTTATGTGACCTATTCTACTTAGTTCCCACAAAATCATTTTGGTATAGGTATTATTACAAAGAAACTGATGCAGAGAGAGGTTATAATGTTTCCCAAAGTCACACCACTACCATTTCCTTTTTCATGAGCAAAGAGATTCCAAGCAAAGGGGTCCTATAACTGCACAGCTGTTATTTGGACACAGAAACAGTCAGGATTGAAACCTAGACATTCCTATTGGTGTGATGTGTTCTGTTAACCATTTTCCTATACTACCTTCATGTTTACAACAATATCCGATACATAAGCAGGCATCTTTTACATGGGGGCAAAACAGAAGGGGCTCACGGTGCATGGCGAGTAACTAGTGACATGTAAACCATGGAAACCTCTTGAATACTTTCTGTGGAAGAATGGGGATGGGCAATGGAAGAGGCAAGCAGAGACAGAATCCCATCTGGGTTTTCAGTAGAAGCTGAGGGGGAACAGAATCAAGGAAGGGAAAATTGCTGGTATAGTTAGAAGATAAATCACAAGAACAAGTGCTGAAGCAGATGAGAGAGAGAGAGAGAGAGAGAGAGAGAGAGAGAGAGAGAGAGAGAGAGAGAGAGAGAGAGGAGCAGAATACAAAGAAAGTCTGTGTTTCCACCTCTTTGCAACATGCACGCATTTAAATGATATGCCTCTGCATTAAATACAACCATCTGATTGCTGTGTTTCTTATTGTCCTTTTTCCTTTATTTTTAATTTCATATTTCCTGCCATCTGTTTATGTTCCTTCCATCCCACCCTCCAACTGTTGGTTTGGAAATTATAAACTTATATTTATACTCTTTAATTTAGTATACATAGAATATTTCCTGTAACTCTTTCAGCCATCTGCAAAGTCAGTAAATATTTCCAATCCTCTAGAACAAAAGAAACCTTACATACCACCCTAGATTCAAGTTTTAGTATCAAATACTAAAAGAACATTTGCTATTTCTATTATTAATTTTATCAACATAATTTAGCCATTTCTTGTTCTTCACTATCTTTTCTGTATTCTTATATCCCTGAGTTTATTTTGTAACTTAGGGAAATATTTAATTTAACGATGTTCTTCTTCAACTCTGAGTGAAATGGCTGAATATCCACCTTCATGTTTAATAACAAGCCTATTTTCACCTTTAAATCAGCAGGAAATTGCAGAGTAATGTTTAGTTTTCCTCTCATGATCTCAAAGCTATCACTGACAAGGAGCGTTCCTCTGGTTTTCTGCTAGTAAACAGGGCTTGGCCAATGCCTGTAGGCATGAGGCTCGGCTCTCACAGGTCAAACAGTGGCTGCAGCCCAGAGTTAGTGGGGGTAGCCTGCTAGACCCATCCCAGGGGGTAGAGGGGGGTAGGGCCAGCCGCCAGCACCATGTGCACCACGTGCACTGCAGATGGGCTGGCCATTTAAGGTTTGGCTCACATGGTCAGAGAAAATCTGCAGGCAAAAAGTCAGGTCCAGACCAGGAAAAAAAAAAAAAAAAAAACAAACTCTGAATAGGTACAGTATACTTGAAAATGTGTTTAGATGCTGAAGAAAAGAAAATGGGTATGGACAATCATAGAAATATAAAGTTTTAAAATAACACAGTACAGTCTTTGAAGAAAGAGTAAAGTAATGTAAAACTAAGCCATGTGAGGATGGGAAATACACAGGGCATCTGGATTTTGTATGGTGCTTGGTTGACTTATGTTTTTGAATGATAATGAGCAAAGGGCAAATGCTGCTGAGAGACACTGGATTGTAGAAAAACTGCTAAATTAAACCAGCCTATATATTTGAAGGATGACTTAACTTCAGAGTGGAGTCAGAAATGTGTTGGATTGGGGCAGAGATGATGCCTTTTTTTTTTTCTCCCACAGGAAATGAAAGCTATGTATTTCTTCAACATTAATAAAGACCAGATTTGATTTGGGGAGACCTC